GCGTATGAACGTGAGGGGGACACGAGTACGCGGGCGTATGAACGTGAGGGGGACACGAGTACGCGGGCGTATGAACGTGAGGGGGACACGAGTACACAGAGACATCAGACATTAAACATGTACAGTAAAACCTTGGAACTTGAACACCTCTTAACTTGACCCACACTAACACTGAACAGGTTTGTTGAATTTTTTTTCCTACTTTTACCTCGACCACAATCTTGGAACTCGCCTGTTCCTGCTAAAACTCATATGGGTCGATACGTGTTCAACTCTACCGATGCAGACCTTGAACGGGTCTGTCGAGAAAAATCTGGCCACAAATCGACTGAAAATTAGGAACACGAGAAACAAAACAAGCCTGTTAAAATTTGTACGGATCGAGAGGTGTCTCTGGGCTGACACACAGGCAAACAGACCTAGTGGGACACTGATGCCTATGACTCGCTCTGTCTCGCAGTACCTCTCGACCCAGTTTGATGTGCGAAAGCTGTGTTCCTGTGTTTGGGGTGAATTGTTGTTTTGTGCTTTATTTGAAGTACGTTTAGTTATAACAGTAATTATGGCCCCCAAGACAATGAGCAGTGATAGTACTGTAACAACCCAAAGAGGAAAGTAGTGCGAGTAACTGAAGAACATAGAGATTATAGCGAGACTTGAAGGTGGCGCATGTGTGTCTGCTCCTTCTCCGGAGTGTGGGATTGTCGATTATTTCGTGTGTGTTGCTTTTGTTTCTGTGACTTTTCATATGTGTATTAATCTTATTGATTGTTAATGCTCTTTGTCATTAATTAGATAGGTAGATAAGTTTTAAATAGGCAATCATTTAGGGGTCTGGAACAGATTAAATTAATTTACATTATTTCTTATGGGGAAATTTGAACTTTGAACTTGACCAAATCACAGCTCGACCAGCCTTCTGTGCCAAATTAAGTTTGTGTTCCAAGGTACCACTGTATCTATTCATGCATCTTTTAAAATTCTATAATCATCCTGAGTTGATTATAGAAGGTAAGACACTATACAGCAGATCCAGCTTTTATTGCTGGTTCACTCTATTTAAATTCAACAAATTTCCAAAATAGTTTGCATCGATTTTGATTAAATTTGGCATGTGAATTACACCTTCCAGAGCTCACCAAAGTAAATATTTATTTAAACAAAAAACATTCCTTTGAAATATAGCTGCTTTTTGGTGGCACTGTGACAAAAAATAACTTTTACTATTACAGCTTCATGCTGCTGTTGCTTATTGGAAATGTCAGAAAATAAGTATTTTCCTGGTATAGCAAAATGTAACTTATTTTTCCCATTCCTTTTAAAGGTCACCTTGAGGTCGTCATCTGATTTATGAGGCATTGTTGGATAAATCTCTGGAATTAGAAAGTTGCTTCCACCCTTTGCCTGACTGGTTTCCGGTCGTTCCCAGTGTCTCCTGCTTCACTTTGTTCTTGTGTACTGCCGTCTTAGAAACTTTGAGCCTGGAAGCATCCTTCTGCTCAGTGTAACTTTCTGCCAACAGAACCAGGATTAAACCAGAATTTAAGAAGGCAGATTTTTTTAAAAAATATAGTGGCCTCTTAATTTTTTCCAGAGCGGTGTGCTTTTATATCCTCTTGGAAGGTACCTTACGTGGTCTGGCCATCTGACACGGTGTAAGCAAAGCGTGAGTGTGTATTTGTCACTTATTAATGCTGAGTTCTGTTTTTCCGTTCTGTCCTCCTTCTGTCAGCCTTTCAGCTCGTTACGGTGTTTGGAAAATGTATCCCAATAAAATGACATGAGCAGAAAAACGTTAAGGTTAACTGATATGACTCTGTTGATGCGTTCCAATTTCCAGGTTGATCAGTTACATTTACTTATGTAGCAGATTCAATTGATGCAATCGAGAAAGCAGCGTCAGCCGTCCTCTGGGACGATTGGGGGTTTAAGTACCTCGGGGGCACAACGGTGAGATCCCTCTGCTAACGGCGGCATCTGAACTGCCGACCTTCCGGGCGTGTCCCCGGTCATGCGGCTCATATTTCCCCACCCGGCATGTGTAGCTGACCTTTGTCATGAGGAACATAGCCTAGAGAGGGAAATTTTGTCATATCTCAGAATTAATCGTTCTTAAAAAATGATGCAACTGAAATTGAATACAGTTTAAAATGCTGAAATACTCCTAAGTCCTGCTTCTCTATGAACAAAAAGCATTAGAGGCTGGTCCCAGTTAGTCTTTATTAAAAATGCTGAATTTTAATCTGCGTTTAGTAGAGGAATCAAAATTTTGTTCACAGTAATGGACAAAGTAATTTATAACTAGTGCTTGTCTTTGTGGGTCTTTCTCCTGGCACCAGATTGATTTGGCAATGATTTGCTTGCTCTGGGGGAGGGGAGGTGCTTTTTGGAGTCCTGCCAGCTTTACTTCCAAGTGTGTGATGCCGGTATATAAGCGGGGGGACAGAGGGAATGTACCCCCCCCCCCGAACGTGCACCGTAAAGTGTTCAACATTTTAAATGATGAAATCATTATTATATTAAAACCTTCCTCACTTTGCATCCTTTCACCATGTGACTATTGCATGTGCACCCATTGTGATGTCATGACCCCCCCCACCCACTGCCCAGGCTAATTCCCCCCACCCAATGTCAGACTCCCTCTGACACCACTGGCTGTAGTGTAGATGACCCGCTGGATTCCCTGTCCCGGTTCTGGCCCAGTGAGCCTTTCTTTCTCCCCAGTCGGCAGCACTGGGTGGTGCCGCCCACCTGGTCAACTTCTGCAGCACAGATACGGTGGCAGGTATCCAGATGGTCCGGCGCTACTACGGCTGTCCCATGGCCGGCTTCTCCATCCCTGCTGCAGAGCACAGGTGAGGGCCGGCCGGCCTGGGGACTCGGCCGGCCTGGGGACTCGGCCGGCCTGGGGACTCTGCCGGCATATTTGGTGAAAGCAGTAATACTTTTTGTTGACTAATGTTGCTTGCGCCCCCCCCCCCCCCCGTGGATGTCCCCAAAATGGCTGCTCAGCACCATCATCTCCTGGGGCAAGAACCGGGAGAAGGAGGCCTTCGAGAGCCTGCTGGACCAGTTCCCGTCGGGACCCGTGTCCGTGGTCAGCGACAGCTACGATATCTTCAATGCCTGCAAGCGTATCTGGGGGGATGAACTGAAGGAGCGAGTTATGGAGCGCAGCGCAGACTCCACGCTGGTCATCCGGCCGGACTCGGGGGACGTGGCCGAGACCCTCCTCCAGGTGAGGCGGGGGCCACTGTGGGTGGGGCGTGTCCCTGAGTCGCTACACTATCAGGGATTGGCTCCGTTTTTTTCTCATTTTCTCACATTTTTGTCCGGACGTGTTTGGAGAAATTTAGCTCTCAACAGTATTTGGCTACAACTCTAAATGGTCGGCATCAGGAATCTGGCCACACTGCAGTCTTACTCAGATGCCTGGAAAACAAGTCCTCAACTGACTCATACTCCCCTCTCAAAATGCCCTTCTCCCACGTCCCACGTCACCCAGGTCATAAAAATCTTGGAGGACTGCTTTGGATGCTCCTTGAACTCCATGGGCTACAAGCTGCTCCCGTCATACCTGCGCATCATCCAGGGAGATGGGATCGACCTTGGCTCCGTGGATGAGGTCAGGAATGCACACAGGCCAGGAGGGCTGGAGAGACCCATGCTGAACTGACTTTCTCCCCATCTGCAGGTCCTGAAGAAGCTGAGAGACAAGGGCTGGAGTGCGGAGAACGTCTTCTTCGGCTGTGGCAGCACCCTGCTGCAGAAGATGAACCGGGACACGCTCAACTGTGTCTTCAAGTGCAGCTACGTGGAGACCAACGGACGAGGGGTCTGACCACAGCCGCCCGCATCCTCACTGTCACCCCACACGATGTCATGCTTAGCTAGCTAGCAGCAAGCGGCCTTGCCTTTGTAGTTAACAGACTCATATTTGGAAAAGCCCTCCATATCTGTGCTTCCTGGGATCAGATCCAGGTAAGCTTGTGGAAGATGGGCTTGTGGAATGGATAAAATCCAGTATCTTCTCAGACCGGTTTCCACATGGCTTTTGCTGTTGTAATAAGGGGATTCATTAGAGCCTTTGCAGGTCTTAAGCAAAAGTCAGCGCTGACCGCATCCACAGCCACGAGCCGAGCTCTTCTGCCGGCCGGCTGGCTAATCTCCACACCCATTTCCTTGCCCCCAGATGGACGTGTGGAAGCAGCCGGTCACTGACCCATCCAAAGGCTCTAAGAGAGGCCGCCTGTCGCTCAGGAGGAACTCTAATGGCTTTCTGGAGACTGTGGAGCGAGGCGCTGGCAAGCCGGAGGAGGTTAGCATCTTCAGCTTCAGAAAGTCGGCCTGTTTCCCCGAAGCTTGGGTGGTGCCCATTTCTCTGGCATTTACTGTGAATTTACTGTGCTTTTTTCTGCTTAGTAATTTAATTTTCGCTTGAGAAAAAGCGGAACTGTGGTTAGACTTTGTTTGCTCAATCAAGTCCCCATGGGTGTTTTCTTGCGTCCCCCGTAGGACCTGCTGGTGACCGTGTTTGAGAACGGCTCCATCCTGCAGGAATACACGCTGGAGGAGATCCGCAAGAATGCCCAGCTCTGGCAGGAAGACATTATCCCATGCCAGCACAACCAAGACCACCTGCAGGCAGAGCAACAGCACATCATGAATGCAGTGCACTGATCCACCTGCAGGGGGAGCTCAACACACTGCCAGTGACCAATGAGTGCCCTCCAATTAGCTCTTTTAAATCGTTTGTAATCGTATATATATTTTTAAGTAGAGAATATCCAGTTTTTTTTTCCCATGCCGTGCCTCCGCTAGGAACAGAACCTGAAATACACATGCTGCCATGGATATTAAGAAATGTGTTAAAAATGAGGTTTCGCAGAGTGAGGGCTGATGTGCTTGGTTTTCAGGACTGAAATCAATTAAGATTAAAATTCTGTTCTTTTTTATAAATGTGACTTCTCAGAGTAAAGATATATTAGATGAAAGGTGTCTAAGCCTTAAAGCTGCATTTTAACAATGGAGGGTGGAGTTTGTGTGTGTGTGTGTGTGTGAGAGAGTGTGTATTTAATGATCACAATGAGGGTGAAGAGTGCCTCCCAGTGGCAATCTTAAGCGTGTGTTTAGACCATTTAGACCAGTACGGCGTTCTGTCAGGACCGATCCTGGGGTGTGGCTTTCCCGTCTTAGAGCTTCAAACCTCAGATGAATTTCATTTTAGAAAATGCTGGCAGCTAAAGTCAGTCACTTTAATTGACCTAATTTGTGCTGATTGACCTGTAAACTGTCTGCACACTGAACGCATGTCTTGGGTGGAGTAGATGTAGATGTCATCTAACACTTCGGTTTTTAAAGTTCCATTTGTTATTAACCTTGAAGCTGGATGAAGGTCTTGTTCTCAACTCTACCTCTTATTAATTATTATTATTATTATTTTAAATACAATATGACAATGTACATGAAAAGATCGAAACAATAAAGTCCTATTAAATTGTGTACATTCCTCAATGGATCTGTAGCTATTGTTTTAGTATTATTTTGAAAATGTGTGTAAGGAGGGCGGCATGGTGGTGCAGTGGTCAGCACCTCTGCGACCCGGGTTCGTGTCTCTGCCAGAGATCATGTGTGGAGATGGTATGTTCTCCCTCTGTCGTCGTGGGGTTTCCTATGGGGGGGAAACCAAACTGAGGCTAATTGGAGTCTCCAAATTGTCCGTAAGTCTGCATGTGTAAGTGAACGGTATGTGTGAGTGTGCCCTGTGATGGGTTGGTGTCCCATCCTGGGTTGTTCCCTGCCTTGTGCCCTGCGATGGCTTGGTGCCCCATCCTGGGTTGTTCCCTGCCTTGTGCCCTGCGATGGCTTGGTGCCCCATCCTGGGTTGTTCCCTTCCTTGCGCCCGTAGCCTTCAGGACAGGCTCCGGACCCCCCCCAACGCTGAATAGGAAAAGTGGTTTCAGAAAATGTATGGATGCTGACGAGGAAATGTAAATATAACATTTTTGGTTTTACAAAAAGACATTTTTGTCTCTCATGTCTAGCATTTTGATGTCTCTGAAGAATACAGTTTTGTATTACAGCTGTGTAATGGTAATTGCTCATTCTTGTTATTTCATGTTAGTTTGTAAATTTAGTCATCTTGACTGAAATGAATTGTCTGGAAAATGTCCAAGATTTAATCTACCTGGCGTCCGAGCTTCAGTGTGCCCGCAGTGCCTGCCCGCAGTCCCTGCCCGCCATAAACAGACGTGCCCTTTGGTCCCCGCTGCTGCTTAGCCGCCATAGCTGTGTGTTAGCTGGACGCCGATGTGCTATGCACTGTGTGCAGTCTTAGTAAGGTGCTCATCTACGCTACTGATCTGCTTTGGAACTGTACTCTTCTATCACTTTCTTACATGAAATACTTTGTTTTATTTAGACGCTTTGGGATTTAGTGCCTGAATTTATTGCTTTTGAAAACAAAGAACAAGGATTGTTTGTTCGGTCACAGAGCACTTCTGCATAAGTAGCTTGACAAGCTGTGGCAAACGATTGAATGCCTGTGCTGCTTTTTGTCCTTTGGTGCTTTATTCTGTTGGTACTGCAGATACGCTGCTGCCATTTTCATAATGGACTCATTATCATTATTATTAGTTGCCGTCAATTCAATATCTACTCTGGGCGACCAGACATTCTTCCAGAACTTACTTTCTTCTGTCGAAGTCTTCAGACATTTCAGTGAAATGTTCATTGTGATCACTCCCTATACCAGGGTTTTTCAAATCTGGACCTTGATTCCAAATCCAGGCCTTGTTTTCAGTTCTCCCAGGTAGTTAGTTTAATAATTACTGATTCTGATTGGTCAGAGGCTTCACACCCGGCTCACAGGTAAAGGAAGGCTGGAAAACCAGCAGTGCTCAGACCTTGAGGACCGTGATTTGAATAACCCTGCCCTATACCTTTGCTATGGCAAACCCATGCATTAGTGATCAGCAAAACACAGCGGACTGCCTCTTCAGATCATCCTTCCTGCGTTTTGCTCTGATCCCTGTAAGTCTGCCTCTGGCCTTCCTGGACCACAGCTTCCTGACTCTCAGAGCTGTATTTGTAGTTCTGCAGGTTTTCAGACCTCATGCTGTGTCTCCCACCTTGCTGGTTAGGTGTGGCCTGTCAATCTGCAATGGATTCCTACTCTGGACAGGACAGACGGCAGTTTTTTGTCACCATATATGAGGGTTGTGATTTCTTCATTTTTGCTAAAAACCTGCATCAGCTCTATCTGAAGGTTTCCTGAACCCCTTAGTAAATGGCTCAAATCAAATTGTGCTAAAATCAAAAATTATATGATTAAAGCATCTGAATACTGCTCTTTGTATCCAGTACATAGTGTTATGCTGCAGAACAATATTTAATGATTATTTTTAAATGACCAAATTCACCAATGGGCCCCTTATTTTGTCACTGTAACACTAGATCAGAAGGTCAAATAGCAACTGATTCATTGTACTCCGTAGATCAACGAAGACAATGGGCCCCTACTGCGGATCAGCGAATTGGCGCCCCCTGCTGACCATTACAATTCCACCATTACTTTGGAGGAACCTGCGGATTAGCGGTCATCCGCCCGCCTTCCAAGCCCATATCCATCACGGGACTACATTTAAAATGCAATCGTGTGCAAACTTTTGTCACGACGTTGATTCGCCTGTTTCATATCTCAACATAGTTAATGCTTCACATTACTTATGACTTATTTGATAGATAATGACTATCACAGAATTATAACCTGGCCAGGAGTAACCCAAAGTAACCCCCCCGCAAAATCGGCAAAACGAATCGTGGGCACGTACAGTATGGGGCGAGCCTGTCTGGGGCTGATCAAAACTATCGTACGATACATGACATGCATTAACCTGGAACTACAACTTGACCGTCAGAACTGTTACCTCCTTAGTAATATTTAAATATATATTTTATTATTGTTGTAATTGTTATGAATTATAATTTTATTTTAAGCCCTAAACTGTAATATGCATCACGGTGTGAAGTACTCTTTACAAAGAAGTAATCTTTGTTGGCAGTCTGTCTATGATGGTGTAACAGACACTCCCCCCCCCAAAAAAAAAATAAAGAAAAAAACCTGGAAAGGCTAAACAGACAGCTTGCACAGGCAAGACCGAAGCAGATCCATTAAAACGGGAATTATATAATGACCGACTAGGTGGTATTACGGAGTATAGCCAGCAGAGGGAGTGCCCAGATTTCATTACCTCGTTTTATATACAAAGATTAAGATTTCCAAATAATTTATTTGATATTACTGTATTTCATCTCTCTTTAACAAGGACTGAAACTATGCATTAGACTGTAACATGAACGAGTTAAACCTCTGATTGCTGTTTCCCAGTGTTTGCCATTGCATCCACCCATAGCACCACCCATCTCTCTTACAGTAAATAAAAATGATAGTGACAATCCGCAGATGTGTGATCGTTATCCAGAATTTTTTTTTCCTGCATGATAAACATAGATAGAGGAATATTTGTCCCATGGACTGAACAGACTGACTGACTTGTGAAAGGCTGGTGCTTCTGGTGTCTTGCCTATAAAATTGTTTCGTACTACAATTTATTAATCGTGCTTCCAGCATGTTTTGGCAAAACAATTGATTTTGCCGCAGCATGAAATATCTGTATCTGTAATTTGAGGCTATTGAGTATTGCTGTTGTGTGATTCACAGTGTAAAGTCATATGAGGTTATGAGAACAATGTCAACAGGAATGAGAGGAATATATAAAAGGACCGGTCCATCCATCTTGTGACTCCTATTCAGGGTCACTAAGGGGCCTAGACCCTATGCTAGCTGGCGCACAAAGCTAGCAGAATACCGTGCTCGGGATGCCAGTCCATTACACGCTCAAAATCACATACAGCTGGCAATTGAGAGATGCCTGTTCGGGTAAAAGCATGTCTTTGGACTGCAGGAAGAAGCAGGAGAACCTGGTGCAGACCAGGCAGCACTGGGAGAGCATGCACAGCGTGGGTGGGACTCGGACCCCTGACCCTGGAGTTGTGAGGCAATGTTACTCACCATGCCACCCACTTAAAATATGTCCCCCATTTTAATTAGGAAGTATTTAATTTGTTTTAATTATGTTTCATATTTGCACATGGTCTATATACTTAAACAGTGTTGCGATCTGTCCGGTTCAAAGTGGATGGGCTTTTGAAAATGGAGATTTAGGATTATGGTATTTCTGATACACATACAGATGCCTGATCCACGTGAGATTGGACACCAAGTGAATATAAACTTCTAGGTATATGGAAGTCACACCGTGCCCTTAAACAGGCTCCGGAACCTTCTGCGAGCCCCTCCAGCTGTGATTCTGTCACGGCGACGGTCTGTTCCCCACATGTGAGACGTACCCGCTCTCTCGTGTCCGCTGCTCTAGGCTTGTTGACATGGCTCTAGAGGACAGCAGATTGTTGATGTTAATGGACCCACTGACACGGCAACAAATCACACATCCTGATTAAACCAAATATATGCAATTATAATAGCTGTATTGTGTCATGCCAGATACTTTTTTTGTGACTGAAACTTAACAGGCCCCTAATTTGTTTTTACTTCAACAAGACATTTTTTGCTATTTCACAAATGACATTTAAGGTAATGACATTCCAGGGCACATGGAAGGGGGCAAAGAGCTTATTTGGAACCGTCTTAAAGTAAATAAGGCTGCTAATGGCTGGCAATGTCAAAACGCACTAGCCCATTTGTTATGGACTAGATTAGTTGCTTAGCAACCAAAAGGCAAAGCCTGTTGTCATGGCTTCAACTTTCCCCGATGCATGCAGAAATGATTGGCTGTCTGGTGACAGCCCCTCCAGTGCTGAGGTGGATCTGAGGTGGATCAGAGGTGGATCTGAGAGGAGCCAGCATGAGGTGGCCTGGGATGCCCTTTGCAGTAACGTAAGTCAGAGCATCGCTGGGTTGCCGTTCACGCTCCCATAGCTGGGGTGGCTCTGTGCTGTAAACAAGGTCGACCACGTCAGACAAAGGAGGATGGACCAGTAGGGAAACAGCGGCCTGCTAGGCTATTTGAGCGTGACACAAATAACACTCCTGGTCAATTTAGTTACTACTTTTGCACCTTTGTTCAATTCAATTTATTTTTATATAGCGCCTTTCTCAACAGAGTCGCCCCCAGGTGCATTACATGGGTGTGCTGCTCCACTTCCTCTTAGATGAGGGTAACAGAATATATAAAAGGAAATGGTACCTGCCCACAGAAATAATAGAAAATGCACTGGTTTACAGTATCACTTAATCTGAAAGAGTTCCAAAAAAACTAATATCACAAAACAATCAGCCGACTGCTTTCAGCCAGATTCTGGTTTTCACCCAGCAGGTTGTGCTCATTTCTGCCCATCTGATGGCCGGTTACTGGTCATGCGGCAGTGCTGGTTTGCAGGAGAGACCCTCAGGCCACGTGAAACACAGCTCGCCCCTGCTTTAA